ATATATAAAATTAGCACCTGAAAAATGATTATTTTTCATAAAAAATACAAATTATCAACATGTATATACTGACGTTCATTGAACTAGATCATTAGAAGATAAACGAGATCAACATCAGGCTATTCTATATTTGTTGGTGGTAATCTCATTACATGGAGAAGAAAAAATAAAGTGTGGTCTCTCGGTCAAACATATAAGCTAAGGTTATAAGTTTGACACTTAAATTTGTGAAGGTTTATGGCTAAGATTTCACTTGTAAGATCTTATATACTCATTCACATAACCTATTAAATTATTTTGTAATAATAAAGTTATTTGTGGTGTTGCTCATAATCAAGTATAACATGAGAAAACAAAACATGTTGATTGGATAAATTCTTTATTGAAAAAAAATTATAAAGAAAAATTGTATAATTGTCTATAATTTGTTTAAAAGATCAATTAATATCCTAATAAACACCATTTTAAATAAAATATTCTCAAAATGTCTTATTAAGTTGGGTATATAAGATTTATGTTCATCCATTTGAGGGAAAGTGTTAAAACTTATTTTCTTTTATTTTCTTTTATTCTCTTTAAAAAAATATCATTGTAAATATTATATATTATTTTATTAAGAATTGATACTATTATAAAATATTTTAATTTCATAATAACCTAATTAAATACATATGTTTTATAAATTATATATATATATATATATTATTTCATATAAAAATTTAAGTATATTTCAATTTATATTTTTTTAAGACCTACACTAAAATCGTGTTAGCATTAACACACTTCGTACCTAAATAAACCAAAATAATAAAATTTATTTGTACGTTTTAAACCAAATATATATCTATATATATATATATATATATATATATATATATATATATATATATATATATATATATATATATATATTACAATAAAGTTGGTATGATTATCTTCATTTTCAAGTAATTTTATCGAATTCGACTTACCTAAATTTATAACTTTTTAAAAAGTAATAAGTTTTATTAATTTGGAACAAATTGACTTCCTTTAGTATTTTTTTTTTAGCTTTTTCAATTATTATTAAACATAATATTATCAAATTGAGACACTTGTGTCTTTTCAAAAAATAAAGAGATGGAGACAGGAGAGTAACCAAAAAATATTATTTAGAAAATGTAGTTAATAATTATTTTATTAGTGGAGAATCTATTCATAGATCCCATATGGATATTATTGTTCTAATTGAGAAAAAATTTTGAGTAAAATTACAATTATTTTTCTATAATTTTATTAATTAACTATGTGATTAAATGAAGATATGGATGAAAAATTGAGGCTAAGAATTAATTGAAAGAAAGCCAATTTGTAGAAAATATTCTAAAAAGAATCACTTACGATAAGACAAATAGAAAAAGATATTAAAAGTAATTGTATTATTCAAGTTTCTTGTTAGAATACAGAAAACAATTTTTTTTAACAGATTTTCAAACAACTCCTTAAGATTTTAAAAGGAGGTTTGTTTCCTAGTTAAAAAATGGGCATTGGTTATAGAGACGAACTAAAAATAAAGGGGACCTATGTTAAAAAAACTTTAAAAAAATAAAAACTTAAAAAAATTATATATTAAATTTTAAAAAGAAATATTCTTGTTGGGATGATGATGACATCTCCATATCATCCCTGGCTCCACCGCTATTTGATTTTGGATGAGAATTACAACCGTTCAAACATTCCTTAGTATTCTCGGTCATGTGTATAGTATATCAGTTTGTTATACTTCATTTGTAACATAACTTATGAATGAAATAGAAGCTTGAAATATTTAGTCTTGACATCAATTCTTCAAAAATGTATGATCCTCTTTTCATAAATTTTAGGAAGCGAGGATTTATCTTTTGCACTTATCTTGAAAGTACCATGTTCTTCATCTTCTATCTCTTTCTATAGTATTTTTCTTTTTGTGATTGTAGCCTAAATTGTTTAAATTTCAATGATTCTTTTATTTTTATTTATTGATTATTGTTTTAATGTATTCTCCATGTTGTTCTAATTATAAATAAGTGATACGTTGATTTGAACATGTTTTTAGGAATATTCCATACCCATTATCAACTTTGAATTTCCAAATTACATTATAATTGTTTCCTAATCATTCTTAGAATATTATATTTGATTTAAACTATTGATTTTGATGAATCCAGAAGGACTGTGATGAATACTTTGATTAGGCAACTTGATCACTATAACTTCTCTTTAGCATCTTAACTGACCTATTTAAGGCAAAGAGAAATGCATTAGAAATGAAAGGGACAAGAGAATCTCCACATGATCCATTAGTAAACTTTCATCTCCAATTATGACAAATTGACAACAAATATTAAATGGCCCATATGTCCCATGGTAACACAATCAAACAAAACACACAAGATTTTACGTATCATGATTTTTGCCAACCATGAGTGACATAATTAGATTTAAACTTTGGACCAAGACAATTTAAAGGGCACTGTGCTATGGGACCAGCCTGCTGATACAACATTCATGACCAGCAGAAAGGTTGTTATTTCTTCTATTATACCTGGCATTTTGGGTTTTATGGACCCCATTAAGACACTCAAAATCTTCACTCCTAATTGCATAGGCCCAACCCATATACTGAAATCAATCATCACCAACTCATCTTCATTCTTTTATTTGAACCTATTTGTTACTGAAAAACAATATTTTTCTATTTAAACTAGGGTTTAGCTTCCACATTCTGCCATGGTAATAATCTCCTCCCAACATTATTTATTTTACACCCAAAGTTTTATTAGTATTCATCCAACCACTTAGTTGAGAAACACAACTTACTACCATTTATGTTAACCTCATTTAATACTGTTTACGCCATTTAACTAGCTTTATATATATACACCTTTTTAAGTTTATGTATGTAATACTTCAAGTTTAAATACAAGAGACATTGCTGAAATATTAATTTGATTCATAAATCAAAATGACAAGGAACGTTTTGTTCTGTTTTTTTAGGCTTTCTCAACTAGAGTATGAATTGAACTTAGAATTAGAACTTTCAAGTTTATTTTCCAGTATTTTTGTCTTTTAAAGTTTTCTTCTGGTTAATGCATTTTTAATAATGATAGACAGAAGGACAAGGTAGTAGAGTACATCTTATTACTTGGTCATGGTTGACACAATACATCAAGGTTTTTAGTATTCTTTTGCTCAATGGTCAGTAAATCTATTGGCATTTTATCATAAGTAAGGCTTAACAAAAACCTGGTTTTTGTTTGGACCTGTGCTTTATCATATGAAAGGATAACTAATGTTGTTTGGTTGAAAGACTGATGCTGTTCATGTAGGACATGCAACAATGTTTGTTGTTATTGTATAGGTAGAATTGTTATGAGAATTTTGTTTTGTGTAAGCTGGGGCGCAGAGTAGATCACATTGCATTTATGATTACAGGCAACTAAAGGTCTTGTAACCAATATGCAAAAATTTCTCGTCCACATTAATTATAAGATTGAACCAGGGTTGCATTACTGATAGATGTTGAAGGGGTGTGAAAATTAAGAATCATACACATGATCACGCACGCTTCAATTGGGTGACGAGAGATGCTGGTAATTACAGGAATTTTGATTGTCATCTATGAGGCTTATTAACTTGGTGAGAATGGAATAGACCGAAAAAGACACAATCTAATGTAAGGCTGGCAGAGAAGAGAGAAAGCCAAAACAAGCTAAGCAGTAGAAACATCAACAACTGTCCACGCGTGCCTGTGTCACAATTGGTTGAGTGTAACTTCTCTTGAATGTTTCATGTGCCAATGCTTTTCTGTTTTTAACAGTTTCAGAGTTCAAACATAACATGGTAAAACAGAAAAGTAATTGTGGCATGTGCTTGACAAAGTAATGATGCCAAAAAGATATAAGTATAGAGATAGGAAAAAGGTTAAAATTAAAGAACCAAACGTACAAGATGGTGTGTGTCCCCTACTATCTTTAGATCACCCTGGTCCAGCAGCAATGACCAAATATTCCAATTCCACATGGGCAAGGTTTGGTAATATAGCATAGTAAACGGTTTATGGCAGAGAACCCTCCTCCATTGGAGACAACTAGACAAATAGAGAAGCCCCTCTGACCCCACTACACTTTCCTATCCTCTCTCTTATGCAGACACTTCAAAACATATCCAATTCACATCCCCATTTTTGCGTTATTCTTCATACCAACAAGATCTTGCAAACTTATATTCCATCCCAGTCACGTTATCTGATTATCAAATAATTCACATCACACGCCCCTCTACAGCTATTTTACCTCTCTTTTTCTTTTATCATTCTCCAGATTATCAAATATTAATAACTTTTATTGTCAATGTCCTGCGGTACACAACATTTCCCTATTCCATCCGTTCACATAATTTCCAAACCTACATCCATTACTCTCATCCAACCAACAGTATTTTTATGTATGATACAGAATATCTACAATTTTTACTGCTGCAGAAAACGTGTTGGTCATCATCTTTAGTGCTATTTCCATCATCATTTTTTTATCTTTTCGTTTATAAGATTCAAACATTAAATCTTAGTTAACACTCACATCCATGCATCCAGCATTGCTTTACTTTCTTCTCCCTTTTCTGCACTTCTTCCCAGTTAAATTAGATTACCAATTCAAGCAAACTCATTAAAGAGCTTAATCTTTTTGTTCAGTTTTGCTTTTACTCTTTTGGAAAACTAGAAAACAGTAACGTAATGAGTCAATCATTTACAGGAATAAGTGAATAACTTTATCAACCAACCTTCATGTGAACAATTAAAATAACTTGGTAAAATATAAGAAAAGGGTAGCGCAACAAAAACCGTTACAATTAACGGGAAGGTAATTGCAGATTAAACCCTAAAAGAGGAAACAACAAATAAAACACTAATATATAGATAGACATTGGAGCAGTAGTGTTTAGAGGGAGAGAAGAAAAGCGGAAATTGCTGAGTATATATCTCAGTCAGTGCTGGCCATTTTAAGCCGTCTGGTTGGAGAGTCGATGACTGAGGGTGCAGATGGAAGTGATGATGAGGAAATGGACGGTGGTGATGATGATGATGACACATCAGAGGTGTCTAATAGCTTCCTTTTGTGGATCCCTTCCCTACCTTGGCTTTCACCCCTAACCTCCTTCGTTGTCATGTAATCCTTCAAACGCTTCACGTCAGATAACTTCACTGGCTTCACTATGAAATCCTCTGCACCCTCCTCCAAACATCTGCACAATTTCCCGAAATTCAAAATCTATTTCAGTACTCTCTTTCTTTAACCAATTCAACTCCCAGAAAACTCTTTGAGAACAAGAACACTCAAACACAATGGTACCTGTCTATGCGTGGCAAAACGTTTTCAGAGGACATAATCACCACAGGAGTTTCCTTGAAAGTGGACGATTCCTGTTCCAAGTTAACCCTTTTAGAAACCGGTTCTTATATTCTTATATATTATAGTATGATTATTATAATAATGTGGAATATTGAAGGAACATTGGCTAAATTTTCTAACCTTGATTTTCTTGAGCAATTCATAACCGGTCATGCCAGGCATACAGTAGTCGGTGATAATTAGATCCACCTTTAAACCCTGCTAAGAAAAATAACACAGATTAGAACATTATGGTTTCATTTCTTTTTATGGACAATTGAATTAATTGATCCCTATGATACATACAACAAAATCATTAGTTTCAGAGGGAATTTTCTGGTCGTCCAATAGTCCAAGCAATTGCAGTGCTCTCAGCCCACTATCCACAGCAGTAACTGCAATTTAAAAAGAAAAAAAAAAGTTATCTTCAAGTCCCAACGAACACCAACAAAGTGAAAATTTTAATCAAGCAAATTAACAAAAACATTTTTTCTTCCTTTAATTATTTGAGAGAACGAACCTTTACAAGCTAAGACTTTGAGCAAATGTTCGATGACTTTGCGATCAACAAGGCTGTCATCAACGGCTAAAACATGAACCTCATCTGATTTCTTCGGTGAGAGACCGAAACCGTCGATGTTTTCCGACATCCTCGGCCATGAAACGACAGTGTTAGAGTCCATCTCTTGCTTCAACCAGAGGAAAAGCAAACAGAGATAGAGAGATATATAGAGAGAGACAAAGACAGAGACGAAGGAATCCTGAACGTGACGCGGGTGCTTAGACCTTAAATACAGCTTAGACTAATATAATAATGTAACATGATATGTTCTTCTGTCAATCTATCCATTATCATATCATGTCACCATTTTCCTTCACTTTTTGTGTAACACATTTGTGGAAATTTTCACAACGGAAATAAAATATTTTCATACTTGTTAAAGGATATTAAAAAAAATTATCAACAATTGAAAAAGCAAAAAGGTCAATTTTTTTAATAAAAAGTTTAATGTTTAATATTATAATGCATGTATAATCTACACCTTTATTAATATTTTAAAGACAGATTTATTTATTATTATTTTATCGTAACTTTTAAAATTGTAGATACCAAAACTGAAAATATTTTCTGAATATAAGAGATTCTTAAAATATTAATTTGTAAATAATTCAGAATAAAATCTTAACATTTACGCAGTTAAAAATTAAGTTTGATTGGAAAGTATTAGTATCATTTATTTAAAAGTAATTACGAATATTATATATTATATATTACTGTTTTGTATAAGGTCATTTTTTGAACGATGGCTTGCAAAAGTTTATTCCAAGTGAATCAACATTGATTAATAAAATTTATCATTGTATTAAGATAAACCATTCAATTAAATAATTATGCATTGTGATACTCTAAATAATGTTACTCGTATATATATCAGTCATTTCCTCAGAATATATATATATATATATATATATATATATATATATATTTAAAAACAATATTACTTAACTCGTCGATTAAAATTTAATTTTAGAAAAAATATGTAATTAAAAATGAAAGATTTTTTATACCATGTACAAGCTAATATCCTATAATATAAAGCCCCTTTAGCAAAGGCAAATATGTCAAAAAATAAATAAAAAATCTTAAGTATCTTTTCTTCCTCTTCTTCTTATTTTTATAATATTTAGACACGTATCTAAGATTCTGAAATTCGCTTTCACTTATGATTTCTTCTTATTAGAAAAACTTTATTTTACACTATTATTAATAATAAATAATTTATCATCGTTATTGTTCCGAGACACTATATATATATATATATATATATATATATATATATATATATATATATATATATATATATATATATATAGCGTGTCAATGACGAGATTTTTGTCAATCCTTAGAATTTGAAATATATGACATGTCACATAGTGATTGGTCAGATGGGCTGATCCAAAGTCAATGCAATTTAAGAAAAAAAAAAACAATTACCTGCGCAAAAGTAACTTACAAGTTAAAAATACTTAAAAGAATTTGTCTGAAAATATAAAAAAATGTCTAATAGACAAGTTCTCAAAAGTAATCTTAATTTTGTATTAAAAAAATATTAAACATGATTGTATAGAACAATTTTGTAATCATCATTTAAAATAAAACATTTTTTACTAATTGATTCTTTTATTACGTGATTAAAGTGTGTGATTCAAGTTAATAAGAACTATATTTATTAGTTTCATAATAATTACTTATATTGTTGTTTTTAACTAGTTAATTTGTAATTTTATTTAATTATAAGTTAATGTAGAAAAACAAAAGGTATATTTTACCGATTCTTTTATATTTAAAAAACTATTTCAAATAAAACATAGAATAAGTGATAAAAAAAATATCTAATAATATTTGTTAAGTTTGTCTGTGAGTTGGAAGGAGAACTGGGGAGCCTAGCGCAGCGTGCAGAGTATCTATATCGTTAATCGTGAGAGCGATTGCATGCACGTTTTGACTCATGTGCTGTCTTTTAAGTTCTGGTGAGTTATGTATTTTCTTGTACATTTTTATCAGTTTATTTAATATTATTTTACGGAAATTAAGAAATATAATAAAATTTTTATTCTAATCAAATTATTGCAAATGTTTATTTTATTTATTTTCTTCTTATCTAATATTATAATAATTAATATCAATCTGAACTTTATATGTGTAAATTAATTAAAATTTTAAAAGCACATAAAATAATAATTAATATAAATTTGAATTTTATACATAATAAATACAAAATAAAAATAATCTCCAGAAAAAAATTGAAATGATAATTTATTTTAGAAAACTATATATATATATATATATATATATATAAAGAAAAATTTACTTATTTTAAAAGTAAAAAATAGATTTTTTATTTTTATTGATTATTTTTTATAATATATTGATTTAAATTAATTACTAATTTTAATTATTAGATTAAAATTAAATAATAATAATAATAATTAAATTTAAATTTAAATTGTCTCTACATTTATAAATAATTTGTTATCGTAATGTTAACACTTAAAATACCATTTTTCATCTCATACGATTTTATCATTAATTTTTATTATAATTTTAAAATATAAATATTTATCTTTCATTTTCTAAAGTGACTATTATAATAATAATAATAATTTATTAATATTATTTTTACAACCATTCAAATATATTGGTGTATATATATATATATATATATATATATATAACTAGTTACAATGTTTCATGCGCGAGTCCTACTTGATATCTTATATATCAGAGTTTTAATTTAGACTATGTTTTACCAAATTCACTGGTTTTGTAAAATAAGAATATTAGATGTCTCTACGAAGAAATCCAAAATTTGTGATTAAAAAAAAAAACTAAGAGATTAAAATTGTATATTACCCTATATAATGAAAAAAATTATTTAAAAAGTTTTTAAATATATAATAATAATAATAATAATAGTAAGATAGATTTGTGTGTAAAATGAATTATTTCATAAATTATATATTTAGTTACATGAAGATAAGAAAGTCTGATATAATTTTTCTTTTAAATAAAATAAAACTTAGATCATTGAAATTTAGAAGAAAAAAAGATTCGAGATTAGAAAAATAATTTATTTTTATATTTTTTTAAATATTTACTGAAAAGTCTTCAAAACAAGATTATTAATTCATCATTTGAATATCTTTAAATTTCTCTTATCTACTAGTATTTGGCTCGACCACCTAAGGTACCACCTATCACTCCACTCCGAGTTCTCATATGTTGATTAAAAGTACGAAATTCTAACACAAACTTTAAAGTTACTTGGCTTAATTATTTTTGTCCCCACAATATTAGAATATTCCAAAACAAAAAAAACATTAAATGGAATGGGTGATTTATTTACCCAAATCAGATTTCCAATTAGATAGTTCATTCTTAAGAATCTTAACTTCAACTAGTCACTCTTCATACTACTTTCCAATAGGTTTTTTATAAGACTTGTTTATAAACAATATAGAGAGTTTAAAATTCAGGAAAATAGTGAATTTTAATTTATAAAAAATAAACTATTTTATTTTATGTTTATAGAATTTTAAAATTAAGTAAACATATTCTTGCTTCTCCATATAAAATTTAATTAATGTAAGATCTTATACATTTTCAACCAAATAACTGAATATTTATAAGTAACTTTTAACAAATGTGTCACACAATCTAAAATAACATATTTCAATACGGAAATTAGGTGTATGTGGTAAGATGTTGTTATTGGGATTTGACATTTGAAATATTATTTTTGGTAAGATTTTGTGTCGTGGGATTGTACAACCGCGATTGGTAGTAATCTTTTAAGGTGAAGTTTATTGGGGGAATTTCTTTTATCCCTTTGAGAATCTTGGAGCGTGGGATTGGCCCAAACACAAAACAATGCAAGCTCCAATAACTGTTATATATGTCAGTTATTTGTTTTATTTGACGTACTAAATCTAATTCAACATCATACTATAATACAACAATTAGTGATTTGTACGGTGGGAGGGTACATAGTAAGTATATTTTTATACAATCTAAAAAGTTAAGCTAATGCAAATTCCAATTTTACTAGTTAAGTAATATACAAAGTTTTATAATTTTAATATAATTTATGATTTTGGTATACTAAACTTAATAAATATTTAATATATTAATTTGTATATTTATAATTTTATCTTCTCGATCTCTTTTCAATTTTATAACTCTTATATAATTTATGATTTTGTTCTTTTTCAAATTTAATAATCATTTAATATATTTAAGTTTATAATTTTATCCTTTCACTATTTTATCTTTCTTTCTTTTTTATATTTTTTATTATTTATTAATAATATATTATTTAAACGATAACAAAATTAACAACTTGTATTAACATCTTTATGTGAATCAAGATTGCATAATCCTGTCCCATGAAAACAGCTATATTTTTATTAATGGGTTCACTCATTATATAAAAATTAAATAAAACTTATATTAGAATAAGTTGATGTAATATAATAAAATATTTTAAATTAACAATTCTTATTGCAAAAGATCATGGATTCGTCTTAATAACAAATATTATGTTTGATAAAACTTTTTAATTATTTTCTAATTTTTTAACACACTCAAAAACTTATTTGATTTGATTAGTTGGTATTTTTCTTTAATAACTCTTAGCGTACTTTTTTTATTTATTTTAAAACTAGATTGGATTATTATTCATTTTTTATTTTGAATTATGTTTTTTTATTAAGTGTGATATTTGAAACACTTATAAAGTGTTATTCGGACCATATAAAGATCAAAACTGGTACATTCAAAAATTAGAAAAATGAAAAATAAATAAAAATAAGAGATTATAATTAAACTTCAAAGGTTTGAAATAAATTAAATTCTTTAGTTAAGAATTTTCAATATTCTTTATTGTCATTAAAAATTCATCTATATTCTTATCGGGTTTTTAGTGGGTTGTATAGATATTTAATTATTATTTTTTCGTCAAGTTCCTTCAAATTAAAAACAAAAAAACAAAACAAGGTGGAATGCTTCTATTCATTACACAGACGCATGAAAGGAAAAGTAAAAAAAATAAAAAATAATATCCCTGATTTGACCTAACACTGTCTGAAGACTTGAGTTACAGTAAGAAAGCATTGAAAAAGT